GAATTTGTACCAGTGCAGGACTATACTGCAATCAGCAAACAATTTCATCAATTTTTATCCCGTTAACCACAGCTGGACAAGGGACTTCTTCAAACTATCCGTAGAACTATAAACATGAACCTTACGACATTCGAATTCATCACACGGTAATCCTTCCGAAATTAAGATTAAAGACTGTTTTGACACACAGTGAACACACAGAAGCTTGTGTCCACCCAAAAACGAAGCTTTCTTTCCATGCAAAGTGCAAAAATTCACCATTTTACAATTTTTTTTTTCTATAAATCTTTTCTGAATCTCTCGAAACCTCGAAGTGTAAACGCAGCGAAAACCGACCGAACAATGACGGCGCAGAGCGAGAAATCGATAATATGTAAAAAACCGTGCCTGACCGCGTTGCATGCCGGTATAGTCCTCACTCCTCCTCTGGACAGAATCAGTGGCTGTGTTGTATAAAATGCCCAAATTTGAGTGTAAAGCGAGAGGTTTTATATCTTTACAACACTGATGCAAATTGATTATATATGTATGTATGTATATCAGTAGTATTTTGGAAAAAAAAACTTTTTTGGGGAATTTTTAAAATTTAATATAAAAATGAATTGGAAGACAGAGTGAGACAGAGTGTGACACAAGGCTCCACGGACGGCGGGGGGTTGTTTTTTTTTGGGTGTGTCTCCTGTGTCGCTGTTGCGCATGCGTGACAGGGATGTGAACCCAAAGCCTTGGTCGACCGAAGTGATTGAATTTGGCGCGGTTCTTATGCGCGAGTCTTCAGTCCGGAATCCAGAAATGACAGTCCTGTTTTTAGCATGTATCTTCATTGACAGAGGACAAAAAAGACTGGATGGATGAAACTGGACTCATGAAATTTTGGACTGGAGACTGGAGTAAGATGCTGCCACTTGTGTCCGGAGCCTTGGTCGGCCGAACTGATCGGTTTTCGAATTTGGCACCGCTGTTATAGTGCACAAGTGGTGTGACACGTTTCCGCCGACATGTTTCCAGTCGGTCAACCTGCGGGGCAGGCAAACAGGTTAAATGTGAAAATTCAATATATTTTAACAATTTTCGACAAAATTTAACAAAAAGGTTTAAAAATCAAATTTATTCAAAGTTTGTATTAACATGTATTTACATTTTTTTATTGTTTTTAACATATGGTTCTATAAGAGATTCTATTGCGTTAAGATTGTAAAGTATGTCTCTTGTTCTTTAATTGTTTCTAAGGCTTTTTTTCTAAGTTCGCCTATAAATTCGTAAGAAATATAGTGTTTGTTTGCTGTGCATTTGATGTCCGATCTGTATCTTGTAAGAATTGTTTTCTTTTTCTTTTCCATTCCAGTACCCGTAAAGAGAATAAGGTCTTGACTTGTAATGGAAACCGTGTCTTTTTCTGTACCTTCTTCATTGGCAATTTTTATCATTGTGTTTTCATGTGTCTGTCGACCTGCGCCATGAGACATGTCATCCAGCGGTTTGTTGTCAACCCGCTTTCATTTTCTCGGTGTAGGTTTGAGGTGTTGATCATTGTACATAGCTTTAATTTGTGCCATGTTTTTACCATGGGGACGTGGACTTACTGACTGTGATTCTGCAACTACCCCGGATTCCTGTACAACAACAACGGGTTGGGAATCTTGTACAGCAGGGGTGGATTTGGCCATTACTTCATGTACAACAGACATTAAATCATGGTTTTCCAAGTTTGCTATTTCGTTTGCTATTTCGTTGCCTGTTTCAGTTGTGATTTCTGTGGTGTTTTGCTCAGCGAGGGTTGTTTCGTTTGCCAGCGGTTGCACGTTGTCAAATGGTATGTTTTTCTGCTGGTCTACGAGTGTGAAATTGGTGTAGCAGGAACCTTTTGATTAATTTTCTGCAGTGGTCCGCGTAGGTGATTGTGGTTCGGTATCATTAAGGGTTGTTGCATTTGTTTTGCAGGGTTTGTTTGGTCACATTCTCTTTTCCATTTAATGAATGCTCTTTCTATAGATTCATCAATATTTGCATCACGAAACTGTGTAAAGTTGACAAATAGGTCAGTGTAAATCTGTATATTTCCGGCATTCAGCCCTATGCCACACAAATCGACGAAGGTAAGAAAATCTGTACTGCACATATTGAAAAGCAAACGAGAATAAGTTCAAAGTAAGGATAATTTTCATACAAGACTGTGTCATTATTTACCGTATATGGATAATAATGAAAATTGATGATGGTATCACCCATATATGGTGTAAATAGAAAATGCATCTCCATGGAGAGAACCTTGACCGACAAAACAAGATTTAACTAGAATTAACCATATAGGGTTATTATCGTAATGAACAATAGTTTGTTTGTTAACTGTATAAGGGTAATTCATTTAGTGTACATTAAGTAGGGATAAAGAATGGAATATAATAAGGTTAAGAATACCCTAGTTGTCATGGTGATGCTGTTTTTAACGTATTTGTTTTTTTACATTTTTCTGTACCACTGACAAATGTGTGATGATTGCTACCGAGGTTGTTGAACGTGTATTGCTGAACAGATTACCTATTACAAGAACAGATTTATAGGGTCAGAGATGGCAATTACAGGGATAAATTTTTTAATGGAAAGATTATTGTACGAGGATAAACATGAAATGTTTGACGATGATCTACAGCATGTTTACTGTTTATTGAAAAATACGCATATATATTGTAAACGATTCCAAATTGACTTACTTATCCGAGATACAGTGTACCACAATGTGAAATATGTTTTTAATATTAATATTAAAAGTATTAATGGATTCATTGGTCGCAACATTACAAATTCGAGATATACGATGTTATGACTAACGACGCTTATACTTGTTACATGTCATTTTGTTATTACGATTGGGGTTATATAAAGTTTACCAGACCTGATGTTCCTGGAAGTTTTATTTTTGCAGACATACGCAGTCAAAGACGTTTTGAGAGTTGCCTAGCAACGGTTTCGAACAGTAATTGTCCACTAAGGGATTTTGAACAAAAGATCATGAAACACAGGAGTTTTGTTATCGACATTTTTTATTTATTTAACTAGGTTGGTTAGACATTCTTACACTAGTGGAGATGGTGAAATTTTTTCAACCGAAAAGACCTTACAAATGCAATAAAAATGTCAATCAATCCCGAATTAGTTTATTTGATTTGGAAACACGGGTTGAAAGAACCACCACAAGCATATTTTACATAGATCGTGTGTTTTATAATGTTGCCATGTATGTCTACTTGTATGCAAAACCCGCATTTGGAGTGTTTAGTTTAGCACACATACCCGTTGAGCCGTTTGGTGAACGTGTTGTAGATATTCGGTTTGAAGGCTTATGCTGTACAAATCATGTTTTTAATGTTGATTTTTTGAGTGATTGGGCAGGACCAGAAGAGACTGTTAAATTTTTTTATCCAAGGCGTATTCTCGAGAGTTGCGTACGGTTAATTAACAGTGGGCGAATATATAGTAGAAACTCATCGTATTACGGGTGTTTTATATTCTGAGATTTTAGTTGAACAATTATTGAACTATTATGACGAGTACGCAAAGAATAATCATATGCCACCACGGGATAATCACACTGAACACAATAGTTGATGATAGGGAAAAACTTTGCGTTTACAGTGAGATAAAACAAGACAATGATATATTTAAGTTTTTTCGTGACCTGATGTACGACGATGTGTCTATTATGTTAGTTGGTCGACGCACTTGGCCGACAGTACGGTTTCATGGTTATGTTATACCAATACCCAGATACTATTTTTATTTTACAGACTTAACCATCGATGAGTATGGTCAATGCCAAGTGAATGTTGGAGTTATGGATTGGCAAACGAACGTATATACTCACATGAAGTTTGAAATTGATATTTATCCTGAGTACGAAGAGGGTCAGTGTAAATACAAGTTACTCAGGTGCATTAATGCCTGGCTCCAAATTTGAAAGGAGTGAGAAAATGGAAAAAATCAATAAAAAAATTAACAAAGCATACTATGTCTTTCATTTTTGGTAGATATGTAGGTAATCAACTGCCAATTATTTTTACCAGCTGGTTTCCATGGAAACCCATCATGTGACGATATACAGGCTATAATAACAAGAATTAAATTGACGCACTAGAACCCGGCTTGGGGGCACACTAGTCATTGACCCATACCTACAAAAATATTATCACGACATCTTTAGCTATTGAACTACAACGTTGTAATTAGAAACTTAAAGATTATGTTGCTGATACGAAAATATTGCTGTGAATATAAGAGTGACTCACAGAAGCTCAATACAAATCGCGATAAAACGACCTTTCGAGATTAAAATGTCTACAATTCTAATTGTACGAGCAAAGTTAGCTTTGCACTAAACAAAATCTGCGTATAAACGACTTACATTAACCTTCCCTTATGTGCCCGCAAGTCGAACACTTTTTTGCGTGTATTGAAGAATGAATGATCGCCATTTTGTAAGCGTGCCTGTCAATTCTATATACAAAGTGCAGCGGCGAAGTGCAAAAATCATTAGTTGTCATGACAATAGCGCGCAAAAGAATGCAAAACCATATGGTGGACTACACACAACGAGAATCCATACAAATACAGAACTAAAACGTAGTGTATTTGGACTGATCGTTTATAATAATAATGCAATTATCTCTGAAATTACAATTAAAAATAGCATAAGGAATTTAAGAATCGCAGCGTATTTAATAACAGGCCAATTTCGGCAAAATAAACGCAGTGGTAATAAAAAAGTTCACAGACAACAACTACAAATTACAGATGTTTATTTGACGATTTTTATTAAATTGCACTTAAATAAAGTCTGAATCTTATCTTTCGCATGTTATTATGTGTGACGTAAATCCGCATAGTTGAAATTTAGGCGCAAAACATTCAAATCACTTAGGAAGTTACAAGCCAGCTAGCGCAGAGGCGACATTATCGAAGGTTTTATACATATTACAACTTACAAGACTGCGATTTTGATAATAATGGTGTTTAGCTTTATTCATCCCGCGACCTGTGGCTTTGCCAGAGGTATTGCGTGGGAAATATCTAAAAAAATTGACAACGATTGGAAATTTGGCGACAGTGATACCCGAACGAAGCTCAAGCAATCTTGCCAACTTACAGAGCGATTCAGCCGCTTCAATGCTGTCTTCGCGTCTTGCAAGGAGAACTTCACAATTGATTTTAACCGATTCCGTAAAATTCTCCCCGACTTGCGGAAAAAATTTGTAGGATGGAACCGTAAAATACACGAACGGAACCAGTATACCGCAACATTTAACAGCAAAAGCTGGAAAAATTTACCCGCAACACAGCAAGTACAGCATAAGTTCCAAAACTGCCAAGCGTGTCAAGATCGCTTTGTCACTGTGCAAGCTCTATTTCCAGTCCAATCAACGCGATTCATTAGCCGCACTCGCTCGGAAGCCTCGTCAATACTATCTGTTATTGACGCAAGTATACCCCAGCATGGAAGCTCAAGCGGTTGCAGTAAACGCAAAGCTGTAGAGACTGCCCGTGCAATATACCACAAGATCAACCCATCCTTTGAAAGCGTATGTAACATGCCTTTATCTGCTGCATTGGTAAACATACAGGAGCTAAATATTGAAGAGAAAAAGACAAAAAATGAAAAAAGGAAAGTGCGAAGGAGTCTTTATAAAAAGTCGAAGCAGGCAACAGAGGCTGAGTGGGCTAAGACGGATGTTGTCAGGTAATTGTCGAACACAATACAAATATACAAACAATAACCAAGTCACGTACTTATAATAAAATAATAATATATAATAAATATAATAAAATAATAAATTTATAAATAAATTTTTAATTTTAATAAAATAAAATAAAATAAAATACATGTAATATCAACATAATATTAATTAAGTATAGCTATTAATTTAATAATAACGGTTATAACTGTAATTATTAAAGTCGAAAATATTAATGTTTCAGTACAAAAATATTTACTGTATATATGACAATTGCTATCATTTAGATGTTATGGGAATTGACAGTCACTTGCAGCAAGACAGAGAGAAAGATTGGCCATGTGCTTTGAAAGCTTCGAGGAAGCAAAACTTCAAAACCAAGTGCAGGTATCAAGTCAAAAGAAAAGTCCCGTTGGTAATTTTGAAAATATACAATGGGACAAAGTGAATGGAGGAAGTGAATGGCTACACTAACAGTACTGTGATCAATTGGTCAGAACTGGCACGACGATACGAAGTGAAAAACAAGAACGGGGAATTGGCAAAGAACAAATAGTTCAAGAATACATCAAGTCCCAAGGTGTGGATGTTTCAAAATATAAGAAGAGAGGACAAGCAGATGATGGTGGTCGCATTAGGAAAAGGATGAGACAAAGTGCTGGTGGGGAGATCACTGTACCATGTCCAGTGACAAATGAGTCATTGAAGAAGAAATTAAATGAAAAAATACTGTCAGGAGAGTATAACGTTGGAGAGCTTATTGTTCCACGACAAGTAAGTTTACTTAATAAATACCACATTTATAAGTCATAATCATTACTGATTACTGAAATTTCAATATGTGGTGTAGGCAGATTTTGCTCTGGGGAGGGTTCCGAAAATTAAAGGGGGAGTTAATGAGCAAGGTGATGCGCCTCTAAGAAAGCTGTGGCAGCGGTCTCAGGGGTACATAATTCACTAATGTAAGCAGGGTCTCAGGGGTACATAATTCACTAATGTAAGCAAGGTTGAAGGGGTACATAATTCACTAACGTGGGCAAGGTTGAAGGGGTAAGGTGAACGTTATAAATACTCATGCATGACCTCTTCAACCCATCAGTGAGTCGCATATTATGTATTGCGCCCTAATTTTTTATTTTAACTTAAATTATAATTTTATTACTCTGTTTAACACCAGATGATTTTAATGGATTAACTGACCTATCTGTCTATCTGTCCATGAGTCGCATTGTGCCCTGATGCGCCTTACTTTATTATTTTACTCTGTCTAACTCCAGGCAATTTTCCTCATCAAGGGGAGAGCGTTGGCATGCTTAATGGGTTAATTAGCAAACATACAGGTGAAATGTGCCAGAACAAGTATCACCTGCCTGGCCAAGAATAAAGTACAGCTAGCTACACAATAAAGTATAATTAGAATACACTATAGCTAGTGTGCTACGTGCAATTTCATACCTAAGTTTGGCTTCCTATCACCTAACCATGCTATCATCACTCAAGTAATGTCATCTTTCTTAAATATAGTACGAAAAGTTTGTGCTTGATAACAATGGCTCCATTATCAAGACCCATTTCTTTGTTGAAGGCCGCAAATGTCCACTGCAAGAAGTCGGGGAGCAAAAACTAGAAGAGTTAAAAGTGTACATGAGAGCAAATATGGATGATAGCCTAGATGTGATGTCAGTGGCGTAACGTTATATCAGGGGGCCCCCGGTTCAAAATTATCGAAGGCCCCCCTAGTAGACGTACCAAAGGCACGAGTCGAGCGCCGTATATGCACGAGTTTTCTAGGGGGTCCAGGGCATGCTCATCCGGAAAATTTTTGAATCTAGACTCTCTGAAATGCCATTTCCTGGACTTGGGGGCGAGATTTTACAGAATTCTGATGGTCATAAAACAACATTGTAACATATCAGAGGCCCTAACCAATGTTTTTGCTCTATCGCCTAAGCCTGGGGGCCCCCATTTGGGTTGGGGCCCCCGGGTTCTCCCGGTCTGAGACCATAGTAGTTACGCCACTGTGTGATGTCTGGTACAGATATTGCAGAAAGGCTGCATAAGTTACACGAAATGAAAGATGGTGAGGATGTTGAAGAAATGAGACAGCAGCTCAAAGATATGGAGAGAACACAGCATCTCATGATCTGCAATGATCTATCAACAGTGGCAAACCATTCACATCTTGTATTCATGGTAGCCTGTTTATATGATCCTGCTTGTTTTTATACGGACGGTGAATATGAACAGTTGACAGGAAAAAGGATAAGCATTCAAACAAAGGTGGAAACGCCTAGCGTCTACATAATAGCAAGGTCTTCATCATCAGATAAAGAGCAATTGTGTTATGTAGAAACTAGGCTAGAATGCTTGCAAGATCTGTCGGAGCCATTAACCTCAAAATCTGGCATTGAAGTGAATGACAAGATGAGATTTTTCCATGGCGATACCCCTGCTCGACAGTACGAATGTGGTCAACAGAAGGGAGGTAATTATTACTGTGCAATCTGTGGAGCAAGTGCCAATCGTGTCTATGAGATGGACTACTCTTTTCGCTGTTCACATATGTCTCTAGCAGATAGGCAAGACCTTGTATTAAAAGGTCCATATGGAAAGAAATATTCTCTTCAGAATATAAATAAGCCTTTCCAAGATCTAACCAAGGATGAGTTAATGGGGGAGTTATCTGCTAGGGGCATATATGAGGGAAATACCAAAGAGGAACTGCGTACCTTACTCAAAGAAGAGTTGCATGGTGTTCAGCGGGTTCCTACTCTGATGTATCACAATCCTGATCTTCCACTTGATGAAATTAACTGTGGCGATTATGAGATACTGGGTTTTGAACCCCTCCATGACATCAGCCATCACATTGAGAATATTCTAACAGAGCTTCCTTCACACCTTCCTAAAAAAGAAGCTTCTGAATTGAATGCTCTTATTGAGTTCTGCATAGGGGGGGGGGGGGGAAAAAAAAAAAAGGGCCTTTGATTATCGATGTGCTCTGATTTTGATTTCAAATCAAATCAGGGGCAAGATAGGTTCACAGGCTCAATTGTTGCTTGATACTCTTGTGGAAATTCAAGAAATAGCATACAATTCAGAAGCTCAACGAACCCCAAGATCAGTTCTTCGGATGCATAACCTCACCTGGTACCATGCAATGCTGTGCCGGACAGTGATTGGTTTTCAGTTGAAAAAATTAACTGTACGTAAGTTTTATGGGACATACTTTCATAACATATCTCATGCACCCATCCAAAACCGCCTTATTAGTGGTCAATCTGCTAATACTGAAGAACAAGAACGCATATTCAATGCTATCACAAACATTACCCGCACTACGTCTTCATTTCATGCAGACCATAGAAATAAAGACCATATCATCTCAAACATACTGGTTCATCTTCAAGCTGAAAAAGATCTTTCAACAAACCATAATGTCTCTTCCGTTGAGAAGCAACAAGCCCATGTATCCAAATTAGCATCTTCATTGCCAAGCTTTTCCAACACCATTATACCCAAGGAAATGCTAGTGAACCATCCTTCATCTTGGCAAGCACACCTGGAAAGGATAAGTGATTATCTTTTAGCTGGTAAAGGTGTTTGGTGGAACGAAAGTGATAATGGTGACATTAACTTCTTTGATGCAAAAGGAAATGTTGAATCATCGGAAGCAGGTCCTTTGCTTCATCATTTTAGATCCAGTTCATTTAAGTCAGAAGAGTCATACTTAAAAAAATGCTGGCTAGAATGTTTGGAGCAAAAGTCTGATCTTCCCATCTTGCGATTGCAAATAGAGGATGGAAATGGAAACATGGTAGTTCATCAAGCAACCCTGTTATGCCATGGGTTCAAGTAATCAGTGATGCATTACCTTGTGATGGAGTGCCAAATGATAGAATGATTGATGATGTTGTCAGTGGGGAAGATGGGGGAAATTTGCTTTGTGGTGTCGCTGCTAAGGATTTACCTGAGGTGGTTGGTCATGCTAGTGGTGTTGTTGTGCATGACAAGGTAGTTGAGGATAGTGGTCATGTTAAGGTTGCATGTTGTGATATTGTAGATGCAGATGTTGCAGGTGAAGTTTTGGGTGATAGTGATGTTTCATTTGACAATGATGTTTCACATGATGGTGAGTTTGTAGGGGTTCATGCTATCACAAATCAAGATAATGCAGTTACTGATATTCCACAATGTACCTTTGAAGAAAACCTGGCTATAAAGGATGTAACAAGTGCTGAAAACACAGGTGATGACAGTGACATACTGCATTTAATCATACTTTAGCCTAAATCTGCTGTAAGTTGTTCATAGTGGCCGATATAATACGAAAATATGGAAAAAACTGTTTAGTGGTCTTTAATATGTATACGTTTTAAAGATTTTTGATCTAAAAATGAGATTATACTAGGTTAAAGTCGTACATACCATTTACTGTGTCCGATCTTTACAGGAATTATAGCCCTTGGATGTTTGTGAGCAATTTTGGCTGCCCATAGAAAATAAAATAGAAACTAAATTCTACTTTTTCTTTGTTTAACAGAAATATCTCCTGAAGCTTGCACCAGCAACTCCAACCTTGATGTCTGCCTAACAAAACACGGTTGAGCACTGCTGCGTATCTTTGGAGCAACTGACGAGGTTAAGCAGTTTGATAAGGCGAGAAAGCGAGTAAAAGACTTTCCCGGAGATCTTTTTTGCGCCAACAGTATTCCAATTTATCGGCTGTGATGGAAACGAGGATTTCACACGCGGAGAGAGATAAAAAAACAGTTGAAGTCGTGGGAAAAGCAACGGTTAACCAAAACTGGCGAGGTTTCAACAACGAAACAAATGTTAGCTGATCCTTCGGCGAAACTCCTGCTTGATAGTTTGAAATACTGTAAAACGTTGGCGAAAGAATGGCGAAAGGAAAAGTGTCTTCGATGATCCATCCAAAGCATACTGATGTGAATCAAGTTCAAGAATATATACAACAAAACGGCTCTTTTAAGAGCCACCAACACATAAAAGAATGTAAACGAAATTCTCGATAATATTACTTCATAAATACATCACACTACTGTTTAATTTCAATTTCAAAAAGTTTTTACAACGAATTAGTATAAAAATAAACAGACGCCGACTTTAAATAAGCAATCTCGTTGCCTGGTAACGTCGATTGAAAATTGCACTTCAACCACTTCAACCATTGGGGGGATAGCGGAAGTGAAAACCTCGAGTGTCAGGTTGCTTCAACTTATCCTTTTGGGGGATGAGAATTACTTCATTTGCCTATAGAGCAAATCTTATTGGCTCATACACAAGTTGCTTAAATATTTTTTAATATGAATCGCATCATTCAAAAGGAGAAATTGTGATTGTACTTCGCGATTTAGCGGGAAAATTTATAATATTCGCGGCTTGACCACTTGTATTCTACCAACAAAGTACAAATATAAGCATATGTCTATAGACATTTATATTTTCATTAGTTATACATTTCGTGATTAGAATGGAGAAGTCAGATGATTGTGGTCAAGAGTTGCAGAAAAAGAGGAGAATGAGATATAATCGAAATAAACGTAGACGCCAACAGTGCGCCATAACCAAGCGTGCGTCCGAAGCTGTGGCACAACAGTTTGAAGAGAGCGTTCGTCAACAAAAGGCGCTGACAGATAAATATACCATGAAATGGAGAAAGATTACCCAAGAAGCAAAAAATTTAAAAGCTCGACTACACAGGCAACAGCATATTAGGCAGGTAATATACCAATGGCAATGACAATGTTGTACATTCAGACAGTGATTTGTGGATTACGCACACCCATGCTTTTATGTGCTAGCTATAGCCAATTTTGTTTTATGAAATAGGTATACACTAAGCAGCATGCATGGTGTAGCATGGTTAAAACCTATTTAATAAAACAAAATTGGCTATAGCTAGCACATATTAAAGTTGAAAAATTATCTTCCACTACATTGTACGTATGGTTTTGGAATTCATTTTTGTGATCAAGTTAAAATGCCAATATTTAAATTAAATCGAAATATATAAAATAAGACTTTTAATGTACTCTATCAGGCAGCTACTATCCATTCTGTTATGCATCTGTAAATTTACAACAGGGGAGGCGGAAGAGGCAAACCATGAAAATTTGACAGCATGCATGCCCCCATGTGTAGAAATTTTGACATCAGCTACCTTCCCCAGGGAGGGGGTGGCAAGTGGGGTCATATAGAAACAACATCTGTTGACAGAGTTTCTGTCCTCTGACATCTATTGCTGGGATACTGTCTAAACAAGATGAACAATTCCCATATAAATATGTCATCATGCCAATATTATGAACATGCCATCCCATTCTAGGCAAGTTTCGGGGCTATTGGGATGAAAACATATCCTGCCTAGCTGAGGGCATAGAAACAGCCAAACAGATAAACAAAAATGTCAAATCCCCCTGGATTTGTCCATCCCCTCTCCCATAACATTAACATGTGCATTAGTGTTACTGTAACAGTATAAAATTATAGTCCCTTCTACTAATCCAATATTGGAACTACAAGGTATATATATATTGTAATATTATAAAAATAAAGTGTTTTTTTTCTAAACCTTTTACAGATTTCAATGGCTCATGGTGCTGAAACATTTGTAAATCCACTTTCCAGTGTAAACCACATAAGTCCAGATGAATTAATCCACCTGAAGGAGGAAGCATGTATTGGCTCTGGTACATTTGGAGAATGTCTATTAAAGCTGTACAAGCAGTTCAACATGGTGGTTTTGGAAAAGCAGCTATCAAAACCTGATTTAAAAGCTGTCATTAATGAAGCTAAGTGTATGAACACACTAACACATCCAAACATTCCACAGTTATTAGGTGTTCAAATAACACAAAAGCCATATTCTTTAATAATGGAGTTCATTGGTGAAGATATGAAGTCATCGACAGTGCATGAATTGCTTCAAGAAACTAGTTCAAAAGGATCACCACTTCTTACAGCTGACTGGATTTCAGTTTGTCTTGACATTGTTCAAGCTGTCAACCACATGCATTCCAAAGGCTACTTGCATTGTGACCTCAAAACCAACAATGTCTTGGTATTGAAAAAGAGAGGATTTGTTATTGACTTTGGAAAAGTTTGCCTTACTACCAAACCAACTGCAAAGAAATACACAAAATTTTATCACTACACAGCCCCCGAGGTATTGCGAGGAAAACCAGTTAGCTCGTCAAGTGATGTATTTTCTCTTGGTGTCATTACTTCCACAATTGGCAAAAGCCAAGGATACCAAGCCACATGTTCGACCAATTTTCCGCTCATTGATAACATTGCTGCAAGAAATCATTGAAAGAGACAATTAGTCCATCTGATATAAAATACATGATTCCCCCAGCATAAATTAATTATATAATACTAGAAGTTACTATCGCAAGGAAAATGCTGCCTCACCACCAAGGGATGGCACCATGCGCAATTTGCTGAATAAGGGGTTGTTTCTACGATCCCGCTTTGCTAGGACGAGATATGAGGCAGGATGATTTTGATGTATTGAAATGAGTCACAGTGTACAATTCAGCAAAAAACATTTTTCTAGAGATACAGGAGATTATAGTTAACTGTAAACAAAAGGTTGTTCAAGCAGCAATTATAACCTTCTTGAACTACAAGATCCTCTCTACAATATTTGAGTTCTGTTAACAAGCATTTGAACTTTTGTTAACCTAGTGACTTATTCCAATACATCAAAAATCATCCCACCTTCCATCATGTAAACAGGAAAAGTGGAAAGGTCAGCTAAATGCATATGAATACATTCAATGCTTATAACTTCTTGCTTTTGTACGCATTATTTAAAACACTGTCAGTGGTGAAGCTGACATAGCAACAGGTCATGCTATGCAAGTTTTTATTGATTTGCATTATTCAGTACATGCAGGTTTATTGGCGTGGCATAACCAGTTGCCATGGTAGCTAGCCTACCACTGAATACTGTACAAAATCATATTATATTATATAAACAATAATAATACTTGAATGAATCATTGGACATGTAGAATTTAATAATAATTCCATATATAGAAATATTAAGTCAGTTTTTGTCCCAATCATTTAATGCAATAACGACACCTTCAAGGCTACGCCTATTGCAAAACAACTGAACAATCTGCTGGTGCTTGATGGAGAGAGTTTCAGCCCGGGCTGAAATTTCAGCCTGGTTTGAGCTGCCCAAGTTGAAATTTCAGCCCGAGTTGAAATTTCAGCCCGAGCTGAAACTCAGCCCGGCAGCATGTAATCGCAAATAATTTCAGTCCGGCATGTAATCGCAAATAGTCGACTAATCAGCGTATGATTGCTTCAAAGAAGCATAACAGGCTTATTGTCTTATTTCATGACACTCAAATTATTTCAGCCTCAGCCCGGGTTGACTATAAATATAGCTCTGAGCCCCTGACCTCTGACTAAACTCTGCCCGGGCTCAAACTGCTCATGTAATCGTGATGCAATTTCAGCTCGTTTAACCGGGCTGAAACTCAGACTGGGGTGAAAACTCTCCATGTAATCAGCCCCTAAGATTGTACTCAGTCAGAACTGCAAAACTATATAATACAATTGTGAGCATATATAAAAGAAAATAGTGTACTCTGAGTGCTTTAGTGACAGTCAGGTGAATATATAAATGTAGGCCAATGGACATATCTCAGAGATATATTTTTACAGACCGTCATACCTTTTACAAAAGTCGGTTGACAACTTGACATGTTATTTATACATGTAACTGCTGGTAAGTTAATATGTGCAGACAACAATCCACACTGGGTTGCTATAGGAATATCTTTGTACAAGTCAGACAATTTTACGATACTGCTCAATCGACATTGCCAAAATAACAATCACTGTGATTATTTATCCCTTAGAAGTACGATGTTCCATCAAGCCTACGATCAAGCTCAATCAGATTTTTTTTATAATACAAACTGATAAATATCGACAAAGTGACAAAGTCCACTTGTTTACTATGAAGCTTGCATCCACCTAAAAATGTAATAATTTAAATACAGTTATTTAAATTCATTCGCTTCAGGTTTCAGCGAGTATCGACCAAAACACATTGTTATTTGTGATCAAACTTTCATCTTACCTTGAAATTTGAAAAGTATTTCGATAAACAGCCAGAGCATTTACTATTCGTACAGCAACGTGTTTACAAATTGTCATGGTCCACAGTGCTGTTCACCAGTTTTCGACTAGTGTATTCGGAAAGTTAAATCGCGATCTGGAGTATGTTATATTTTTTAAACTTTCTGTGAAACGTTGTAAATCTGATCATCTTTCCGTATGTACAAACATCCCAAATTGACTTCTTCATATTGACTGCATATAATAGACTGCAAATAGACTTCTTCAAATTGGCTGCATATAATTCGCGAACCGGAAATGGACTGGTGAAGAATAGTGTGCTGCCTTCGGCAGCAATAAATCAGTATATAAGTTACTTAACCCATTGAGTCACATTGGACTAGCTCTGACACGTCCTACTTTATTATTTTACTTTGTCTAATGCCAGATGATTTTATGCATCAAGGGGAGAGTGCTGGTGCTGAATGGGTTAACTGGCCTATCTGCCCATGTGTCTAGTTAACCCATCAAATTGTATTGCACCCTACTTTATCATTTTACTCTGTCTAATGCCAGATGATTTCATATATATTTATATATATATATATATATAATGGATGACTCTTCGATTTTGAAGATGTCCTTTTTCGTCGGGGGTTGGGTCACCGTCTATGAACTCTCCCATGAGCCACCAAACCCGCTCGGCTCGCACAGGGCCGTTGACACACATCACACATGAATCCTGTTGCATCAGCTTGATCAGGCCATTTACGCCGGAGTCAGGCTTGACGTATTCTCTCTGTCCGACCTGCTTCAAAAGATTGAACGCCAGTATGGATTGCAGTTCGCCATGAAGCCCTATCTTCTGCATGTGTTTCCCAAGATTGCAGCGGAACATTGCACGATTTTAGCGCATCTTTCAGGCTATCCTTATACCTTTTTCGTGGTCTTCCCACCATTCGGTTTCCTTGTTGTAACTCCCCGTACAACAATATTTTAGGTAATCGTTCATCATCCATTCTCACAATGTGACCAGCCCACTGAAGCTGCCTTTTTTTCAGAATGCTTTCAATGCTACAACATTTTGCCCGCTCTAGCACTTCGCTGTGTGGCGTCTTTTCTTCCCAATTTATTTATTTATTTATATATATTTATATATATATATATATATATATATTTATATATTTATATATATTTATATATATTTATATATATTTATATATATTTATATATTTATATATATTTATATATTTATATATTTATATATTTATATATATATATATATATACATCCTTAAACTTAAATTATTAATGTACACTAAATATTATACTGTGAACATGGATAGTATAATTAAACATTTAATTGATAAATTAAGGTGGCTCGATACAGTTTTCAAAAATTCAGGTGTTCAACACCTTGAAATGTTCAAACTATGCATTTTTAGAATATATTCAGCAGATATTGGGTTTTTTTATATATTTCGATATCTCTACTTTCAAATTATATTATTTTTAGTAACAGATAGTTCGTTGCTATGACGACATACGTGTACAAAATACACTCCAAAATGGCCTTTCGTCTCGTATAGTTGGAAAAGAAGCATGGTGACCCCCAATTTTTTTTCTTGCATTATTGTACTTGGACGAAAAGCTAACAATTAGCAAAATATAAAAAAATTCTGTAATGCCATTTTTTTGGAAAATGCGAAAATGTCATATTCTTCGGTAAATTTTTTTTGGCATTACAGAATTTTTTTATTTTTTGTATATTGAAAGTTTTTAGCGGTGCAATACAGCATGCAAAATTTGAACATAGGTCACCAGACAAAATAAAGAGATATAGCGCATTGTTTTTCTAAAATGGAAAATTCTAATGACGTCAGCAATTGGCATAAAACGCTATATAGAACACGCGAAATGACGTGAGATGGCGCGAGCAGCTGCTTACGTTAGGTCATTTTGGAAGTTCTGTCATTTTGTTAATCAGTTTCCGCGACCTGCGCGTAAAAATGGTCACCCGGTTTTGAGTTCGCGATTCTTGAGCAGGGTTTTCGTGATAACTATATCGAGCCACCTTAAACAAAATATTATACTGTGAAAAGTGGAAACTTATCTTGTCAAGACTTTGAGTCTTTAGTCAGCAGGTTGTCAAGACCTAGAGTCTTTTGGCAGCCAGTGGAAACTGTTTTACAGTGTAGACACTGGAAGTATAATTAAACATTTAATGATAAATTAAACTAAATAGTATATTGTGAATAGTGGAAACTTATGTTGTCAAGACTTCGAGTCTTTAGTCAGCAGGTTGTCAAGACCTAGCGTCTTTCGGCAGCCAGCAGAAACTGTTTCACAGTATAGATAATATAATTAAACATTTAAATGATAAATTAAATTAAATAGTATACTGTGAATAGTGGAAACTTATGTTGTCAATACTTCGAGTCTTTAGTCAGCAGGTTGTCAAGATCTAGAGTCTTTCGGCAGCCAGTGGAAACTGTTTCACAGTATAGATATTAGAATTAACATTTAAATGATAAATTAAACTAGCTAAATAGTATATTGTGAATAGTGGAAACTTATGTTGTCAAGACTTCAAGTCTTTAGTCAGCAGGTTGTCAAGACCTAGAGTCTTTCGGCAGCCAGCGGAAACTGTTTCACAGTATAGATAATATAATTAAACATTTAAATGATAAATTAAACTAAATAGTATACTGTGAATAGTGGACACTTATGTTGTCAAGACTTCGAGTCTTTAGTCAGCTGGTTGTCAAGACCTAGAGTCTTTCGGCAGCCAGTGGAAACTGTTTCACAGTATATAGATAATATAATTAAACATTTAAACTAAATAGTATACTGTGAATAGTGGAAACTTATGTTGTCAAGACTTCAAGCCTTTAGTCAGCAGGTTGTCAGGACCTAGAGTCTTTCGGCAGCCAGTGGAAACGGTTTCACAGCATTTAAATAGTATAATTAAACATTTAAATGATAAATTAAACTAAATAGTATACTGTGAATAGTGGAAACTTATGTTGTCAAGACATTGAGTCTTTAGTCAGCAGGTTGTCAAGACCTAGAGTCTTTCGGCAGCCAGTGGAAACTGTTTCACAGTATAGGTAGTATAACTATAAAATTAAACTATAAAACTACAATACTTTGTTGTCAAGAGGTCAGGTCTATATTTATATGCTATGGTTTGTGAAAATTCAAAGCAAAGGAAATATTCACATGCACTTTG